TTCTGTGTACATTGTCTCGTCGGTTACATTTGCTTCTTCCGATCCGGCCGACAACGTGTGCGGAGGTGTACATTCAACGCACGCGTCCGGGAACGACCGATCGGAGAGGATCGAACGAACGGTTCGGCGCGATTCGAATCTAACGGAACCGTCGTTCTGTTCGAGGGCGTTTACGGTTTCTATCGGGCTCACCGATGGAAAATAATCGGCCGGCGAAACTCGCGCGACGGGATTACACGGTTCGAACCGCGCGGAGAAAGGCGGATTGCGAGACCGGCTCGACCAGCCTTGGTTGTCGTTCGCGTCTACGCCTCCGTTCGTTTCCCTGGTCGGTACCCCGGCTAGCACTCGCGAGAACTCGAGGCGAGAAATCATTCACGGGCTTCTACGTGTTTTCCGCACGACAGTGATCATCGGAAAGCTGGACTCTTTCGGTGGAATTAACGCGCGGCGGTCTCGGTTCCTTCCGTTCACCTCCAGACCGACTTCCGGTGCGGTCTCGCGCGTTCATCGTGCGTTCGCCGCGGCTCTAGTTCGCTGATGATGCTTACAGCTACGGAATTCCCGGCCGCGAGCCACCCGGCGCAGTCATGCATCGCGTCTCCTTGGGCCAGGGCCCTCAACGCTGCGTTCGCCGTGTGATCGGGACGGAACAGCTCGTGCGACACCGCCTCGCCGTAGCCTTCGAGTCTTCTTCTTCGGTACTGGCTGACTCTCATTACTGGAATTCAGAGATTTCAGGACGATTTAGTCGGTTCGTGTGGGTTTCGGTTTATTGGCGATCTTAAATCTATCGCTGTTAAGGTATTTTTGGAACACGATCCGCTGTGGAACAATGGATTTGAAGGGTATGGGATGAAGCGTGTTATGAAGAACATTGTACCAATCATTATGTGAGCTACTAAAGTCCTTTCGATTGTTAAAACTTTATATTACAATATTTTCGAGTGATCTTTGCATCTCCAAAATGTAAGTTCTGTGAGATTTTCACGAGAATATAATATTATAGAGAATAAGGATTGAACAGTAATAAGAAATTCTTATTTAATTTTGAATTAATTAGCGAGGAGAATGTAGGAAATATCACATCTACAGAGTATCCTCCTCAGCAATGCGAGGGTTAACTGGGTTGAGGTTAACGAATCAGGGTCGCCTTATTCAGAGGCATCTCGGAGACATCGCCTAGAGCGAAGGAAACATTGTGAAACGAAAGAAACACCGTTACCGATCTTGATACACTTTCTACTTTATCGCCAAGAAAGTGTTACAGCTTCGCCGTCGCCAGATACAAAATCCAGATAACTCGGATCACGTTTCACCGGATAAAAATCAACCCGTGTATCCGCCCTCCTCGTCCGGTTTCTCCGAGCAGACCGTCGACCAGGTCAAAAACCATAAACAAACTTCTGTTTTGAACCGTATCTCTCGTTACAGTGATACATAAATTAACTCAATGCCAACGGTTTACGAACCGCGGACGGTCGTTCCGCAGATAACGTTCCTCTCCTTAATTGGGCCCGGCTACGATGCAGCTCGATTCATAAAATAATAATGCAACAATTTGCCGAACACCGGACGAGAGTTAACGAGTCGCGGCTCGGTGTCGCAACCGGCGATACTAGCAAACAAATGGTAAACACGGTTATCAATCATCCACTTTTTCCTTACCGTACCGTCGTCAACTCTCGCGTAAGGTTCGCCGCTCGCAAGCTCGGCTCGAGTGTTTACCCGGCGATACACGGTGGAAAAAAAAGGAATGAATGCGTCCAAGGTAGATCGTAAGTCATAAAGCGACGGGCACGTAACGCGGACTCGTCCGATGAATGTGTTTCATTGCTTCGCGGCGGGAGAGGAAAAGAATTCAAGTTGTTGGACGTTGGCCAGACGATAACGTTACGAATAATTTCCTATTAAATCGCAATCGCGATGCGGGCAAAAAAATCGGAGCATTAATGGGACCCCGGAGAGTAGAATCGTATCCGTGTCCGAGCGAGAAAAAGTCCGAAGGACAGGTTTTTCTGTCGCAGGATCGAGGTGGCAATAAGACCGAAGCTGTTTCCCTCACCTTTGGTGGAGTAGCCGTTCCAGTTGAGCCTGCGCGCCAAGCATTGAGCGACCTGGCTCTTTCCACGTCCCGGTAGGCCGCACATCGCTACCACGACCCCCGCGAATTTTCGCGGTGACTTCGTTAATCCCGGTGTCCTCATTGCTAATTTCTCCTTTCCGGGTTCTGTAATGGGAAGCAAACAGATCGATCAGAATGCGGACGCCGTGAAGTACGCAGCCGGCCGGGTGAGTCACCCTCGAGCACCGGTCGCCATTATCGGGTCGCGAACAAACGTTCCTCGCGCAAACAATAGGCGCGAATAGAAACGCGGGAACAAATGCAATATTCATCGATGGACAAAGAAGCGTTCCGGGAAATGTTTTCCTCGGGATCAGGTGAAGTTCGTTGCTCGGTACGGTCCTGTTTGCCTTTTTAATTGGCGGGGCGAAGCGACGTCGATACTTCTGGCAACGTGCCGAGTCAGCTTATACACGTACGATCATTAAGCGACACAGATACGCGTTTCCACGGTGGAAACAAGCAACCCGATCACGTTGCACGAAATGTCCGAGGGAAATATTGTCGAATCATGGATCGCCTCGACTGAACGTGACATTTAGGTTCTAGCTTCTTCTTTTCCGCCTTTCGTTATGCGCCGCGGCCAGCTTCTAACTGTATATTATCGCGACAGGTAATTACTGGCCTGCGAACTTTGTGCATTTTTAAACAGTCCAACGACGGTGCAAACGAAATACAACTTATCGTCGGTCATATTCATTTCAACAACATCTTTAAATAATTCGTCGCTATTGAAAATTCTAGAGCACTCAGTTATCAACAAGAAATTCGAAACACAATGGCATTTAAGCGATACATATTATTAGCGCATCTCACCGTCGTTAACCAACGAAACGTCAAAGAGATATTTTGAAAACTGAACTATACAGCTGTATCGTTAAAATAAAATATCAAACTACAGATAACTGTATCTAATAAATGAGCCGCTCAGGAGCCAATGAAGTTAAGACGGTTTCTTGATATTTTCTGATTTCTCTCACTTTCAACGCAATAAATAATCTCTACAGTTATTACAGGATTTACTCGTCCCTTATAGCTTCTGAATATGTTCTATAATCATTTCAGATTATTATTATTAAGGTTTCTTTCCTTAATTAGACCCGACTACGATGCAGTTCGATTCGTAAAATAATAATGCAACGATTTCCCGAACACCGACGAGAGTGTTAGCTAATATTAACCTAACCAAAACATTAATATCCTCAATTTGAATTTTCTGGTAACCACATTGGCGTCTAAGCGACTCGAACAACGAACGCAACACGTTCCCTCTAACGCCGCGAGTAGTTCGAAAGAATATTAATTAGATCTCTCCTCGTTTAAATGACCGAGCCGTAGGAAACGGGCAGCTCGAATTGCAACAACGGGACAATGAAAATCATGCCGGCATCGTTCGATCGAAGGTGGAATTCTCCTTACCGATCACACACATGTTTCCGACAATGTGCCGCGACCCTCAAGCGAACGGTTCGGGATCGATAATGCTGTACGCGTTTCAATGCTGCCACCCAGTGAAAAAGGCTGCTCTCTTTCTCTGTGGCTCTGGCCGTGCTAATTGCTCGCGCGAATCTCTAACACTGAGACCGCCGTGTCGGGTACCAATCAGCTACACCGTCCGCGGACGTTATATTTAGCGTTCTCGGCGATCCGCGAGCCACTTTTTGGCTGCGCTTTCACGCCGTTCGCCCCCTTTCGCGGTACTCGACGCGGAAACGGCGCGATCTTTCTCCGTTTCGCGCCACTTCCCTCCGACTCGTGACGTCCATTGTCGATGAAATGTTGGCACAATGTTTCGGGCCACCCGAGCGGCCGTTCCGATGAATGAAGAAGACTTCCTGATATCGAGTTTCATTGAGTCACTTTCGCGCGCGCGTCGGATCACCTTAAAATATGCGAGTGATATACTGTGGGAACTTTTCGTGAACCACATTTGGAACGTCTAGCGGGGAGGTCTCCGCGAATGTCCGATATTGCGTCGAAATTTTAATAAAGCCTGATCACGCGAAAGTTGAATCGCAATGAAGGATTCGAAGTTTTGAATACAATGTGCTCGTGGGTCTCGTGGAAATGTTTGACGATTCTTTGGAAATATCGCGTAAATGAATCACCGATGCAAATATATTATAATGAAGATCGCGGATTAATTCGACTTTCACAGTTTCACCGACGCTAACGATCGTCAGCGTTCGATAATTAATTCCGTATCCCGCATTTTCGAAGTTATAATCGACGAGGCGTTTTATACTCTCCATCGATCCGCCGCTTATACCAGCTCGCCCTTGAAAACTTTAAAGAACTCGTTCTTGAATTCCTAATCTGGGACTGAGCCATTAAGATATGACAATGTAAAGACTCTGAATAGTAATTAAAAGGCATAAGTTGCCAGCGCGAATATGAATGAGGGTCAAGCGGATTCCAAGTAGATACGAATGCTAATTAAACTTAATGCCCGGAGTCGCGTTCGTATCGGCGTCCCGATGCGTATCGTCCGAAACTTTCGCGGGGTTATCCCGAAAGAGACGAAGGAGAAGCCGAGCGGACGGCGTCGGCTCGTTATAATTATTTCGAGTCAGGCCTCAGTGTTTACAAGATAAAGCGGGAACGCGGCGAGCGAAATAAAAACCGGCGTTGCTCCCAGAAAAATCACCGGGCAGCCATAGTCCACGGGACGTTATCGCGTTGTATCTTCCTCGGGACCGGTCTTAGACACAACATTCGTGGAAAAACGATAAAAGGTCACTACACTTGCACGAATTCCGACGTAGAATTTTTTCGCTGTTTTTCACAATTGTTAATCTCTTACCCCGCTCTCTTTTCCGCCGTTTTTTCCGTCCCCCGTTCACCGTATCGTTGTTGCATACCGCGGTCATATTGTCAACAGAATTAATTACGAATCGGACCCCTTGATCTCGGGGACCAAAGAGCCATGGTCGAGTCCGCGACGTCTGACGTGGGTCTTCGCGCGCAAAACACCGTCCGTGAAACGTTTACCGGAAACGAATGTTTAATACGTTCCGTGCCGGATCATTTTTTCAAGACTTTCCCTTCAGGCCGTATTAAAATTAAATAACCGCAGTATGCATGATATTGAAATACCTATCTTTGACTGTACGATAAATTTTTAAAAAGTTCTTCGTTTTTCAATGAGAATTCATTTTCGGTCTGAGCGGAAAATTCAGCGTGGATCGTATACGCCCCACGCGGCACGGAACGCGTTAACCAGTATGGCGGTAAAGTTTCCGTTTCCCGTCACGTGTGATGCATTTCGTCCACCGAATGATCTCATTATCAATCGAACGGTATTGTTATGCCGAGGGAACAAAACGGGTGAGGATAAGTTCGTTTGTAATTTGCCAGATAAGAGGCAAGAGTTTGAACAATTGCGTGTAATAATGGTTAATTAAGGGAATCGTTTTTATGACATTCGTAAATTCTAAGTGTTTGTTCGACGATGCAGGCTAATAATGTTTTCGCCGGAATATCTCGAACAGAGGACACTGTTGACGACATTACGTTATCGGAATGTGGGACAGATCGTGTCACATTGTTATTAGACCGCGGCTTTTTATGCGAAATTACGTGAGTGACGGTTAAAAATAATATCGAGACGGATGTTTATCGCGTCGATAGGAGCCTTTTTGCATGGCAATGCGTTAACTTTCAGGTTACAATGACGTTAAACTTTCACGCCTGAGCATATGAAAGTTTAAGTTAACTGGTTCTTAATTTTATTCACCACTTTGAGTGCGAAATGAAATAAATCAACAAGATGCTATACTGACACGTGACTTCGAAGTTACACGAGCCTATAGAGGGTTAACATTAACCCCTTGTCCTACAACGAGTGAGACTCGTAGCGAAGATTTTCGACATGAGTCAACAAATACGTATATTACTCAGTTCAGTCAAATTCAAAGTAAATATTATTTCTCTGTAATCAACCATTATACTTAAAAGAAAATACAGGCACAACATATGCTCAGAATTTCTCTCTTTTTCGAATAAATTATTAACGATAAAGTAGCCGTACCGATCGGAGTTGAGAAAGAAATCATAGGCCAAGGGGTTAATCGTAACCCCGTTGAAGTTGTTATTTTTCTGGACTTTATCCAGCGGTAACTTGCATCGAGCTATAAATTGCGACTAGTCTCTTTACTATTCATCGATCACCTGTGCCCACGCAGGTGCTCGCGATCAAAATATCGTACAGCCCGCAGGTTAAATCGTCGTTTTAATGGTCGGTGGCGTTGACCCCGGGACGTGTCGTCACTCGATTCATTATTCAGCCATGGAATCGCGTCGGCCGGCCGGCCGGCTGCCATCTGCCCGAGCGGAATAGTCGTGTCAGTGTGGCGAGACCGCGACCATCGCGAATTTCTCGCTGGGAATGACATTGTTGAACTAATTATCTGGCCCTGTGTTTGGAGAAGAAACGTAATAAAAACGAAACGGTGCCGATAATCGGATTGCAACTCATTAAGCACGCGAACGCGTGGCGCGGGTTCAGAGTCCACGTGGAATATTGTTGGCGAAAATGATTGCGATGTTTTGGCAGTTAAAATGCCGAAATACGTACATCGGCGATGATCGAGTATTTCGTTGAACGAAAAATACGAACGTACGACATTAATTCAGGATTAATCAATCCTGACTGTCGATTCTATTCTCGACTTCGATGTCCAAACAAATATAGATAATAAGGAATAACAACGACTCGAGGTGTTTGTTTCATAAAGACTGCAATTATAGTTTCATTTATATCTTTAAGTATGTTACGATACGATTCAACCCTCGAGGACTCCTGGATAAATAAACTATAGAATTAGATATCATTTCCGGTGAACTTGACAGAACAGGTAGATAAATAAATAAGAAAGCTAGAATAAAGCTAGTCGGTGATAAGAAGAAATAAAGATGACGGATATACTCGTCGGTTGTTGATAATGAATCACGTTGCACGATGTTTAGCGGAAAACGGCTGCAGATGCCGGAATTGTGTTTCGACTGGCGATGACGTATTCCTCACACCCTGCCACGCGAAGGATGAAAACAAGGTCAGCCTGGGAAAATCGATAACTCCGTCGGGAAAATTCTGCCCGGTTGCATCAGTTGGAACCTCGCGCCGTCCTCCGTTCGTCCGATGATTAAATTTCACCGGACGAAAGCGGCCACGAGCCACGATACAAATTCGAGTGTCAAGAGGCACACGGACCGGATCGTTGGACCATGATAAATTTAATTGGCGCAGATAACAGGATTCCTGAAATGGAATCGTATCAGCAAAAATTTCGAAACGGTCGCGCGGTCGCTTCTATTTACGAGCGTAACGGCACGTGAATACGCGTGTAGCTGGATCCAGTGAAATGAATTGAACTTTGGCAATATGGTGTGACCGGGGCTCGATCGACAGATAAAGATAACTTTACTAGGAATTCCCTGGCTGAAACAGATAAAAAGAATTTCGTTCGCGTTTGTTATCGTTCCACGGTGAACCGGAGCGATCTTTGTTTTTCCGACACTAGTTTGATATCTACAAAACTATTTTTAATATCTACCGCCACTTTTTTCGAGAACTATTCATGTTAACGGCCTTGCCAGTTTTTCTAATATCGCTACGATTGTTCAGTTTTTGCGTTCACCAGCGTTCTCGTTTCTTTCGAACGATCGAGGAGAATCTAGAATCGCACCTGAAACGACTATTGCCACGTGATCTCTAACTGACTCATTAAGAGGCCCTCAGCAGTCAATTGCCGATATTAAAAAGATTAAAAAACAATCATCGACGAGTATCGAATAATAAAAGGAAGCCGTAAATCACGATGTTTATCAACTCTCGGTACCGCGTCATGCACAATTTTATTTGTGCATTGTTATTTGCTGAAGACTTAATCGCGGTGCATCCGTTCCGTCGGAGTTTCTTCCACAATCTTGTTTGAGTTAGACTTTTGTAGGCTAGGTGTTAAAAAAAGATCAAGCCCCGATAACAGCACGCTTCTAAGAACGAATCCTCGAAGCGTGAATCGCTGATAAGGAAACAGAAAGATCCCCCGATAACGAGCATCGCGTCCAACGGGACTCATGGAATAATATTACGACGGATCGACACGGTTCAGGCGTCTCTTTCAAAATATCTTGAACTTTGACAACATCGCGGGATAAAGATATCCCGGGGACCCTGTACAGAGAAGCCCCGGCAGATAAACAGCTCCGATAAAGAATTAGAACGTGCCCGTAATAAACGGCCGCGATAAAGAGTATCGAATCGAGTACAGGTTACGAGACGGCGTTACAGTTGTCGGGCCGTGTTATATCGTCGTGGTATTTATATGCTCGCCAGCAAGGACAGTATAAATAATTGGCGTGTGTCGCTGAAAGCGACGCACGTGCAACGACTACAGGCGATTTTTACGGCGGCGAGACGCGGCGCGGCAACCCCCTGATCGCGCGCGGCTGGTGTCCATTCGTCGGTTTCCAGGCTCGCCAACATATGCGTCGCACGGCGTCCGTTTCGCGCGTTCGTCGTTTTGCCATTCTAATTATACATCCCATGGGATATCCTTGAAGGAACTGTTTCGTTTACCGTGCCCGCGCCGGCGGACCCGTTCCTTTCACATTTTACCGCGAGGTAAACACCGCGAGTGTCGCGCGAGTCGAGCAACGGCTGCTCGGGCCGGCGTG